TAACTCGGGGGCAGAAGAGGTGAACAGCAGTATGCCCTGCGGGGCTGGCCCAGGCCCCTCAGCAGACTTCCACTGACAGGCTCTTTTTTCTGAAAGCCTGTGTCCTATTTCCTGAATCCTTAAACCTCCTAGGTGCCCCAGAGGAACAAATTAACCAGAGCACAAAGAGCAACCAAGACTGATTTTTATTCTAAGAAGCTTCCCCCTTCCTGTGCACCATCTGTTGAAAGCAAAAGACACACACAGGGTGGGATCGAGGCTGCACAGAGGAGGGGGCAGGAGACCCTGTGGGGAGACAGGCAGCGCCCTGGGGGAGAGGAGACTGGGCTCCCCGCCAGAGGCCTCCGGTCCAGGCTGGGCGCGTGGTGGGGGGCCCCTCCCCAGGACAAGTGCATTGTCTTCTCTGGCAGCTCTTCGGTGGTCCATGTGCCCGGAGTGAATGACATCCAGTCGTCCTCCTCAACGAGCCAGAACATGTCCCAGATCTCCCGGCAGCTAAACCAGAGTCAGGTGGCGTGGACAGGGAGTCGGCCACCCTTTCCCGGACAGGTATGGGCATTGGTGATGGCATTGCCCCTGGGTGCTCAGAGGGCACAGAGCACCTGAGCTGTGCTCTCTTGGGACCCCGGCTTTGAGAACGGATCAGCTCACTGAACTGGAGCTGACCCCCACCCCCCGACCATAGCCAGGCTCCCAGGAGCTCCGGCCACCCTAAGGGCACTTTGAGAACTGGGTCCCCAGCAGTGGTGCTGAGTCTGGGGGACGTCCTGGGGAACCTGAGGGAGGGAGCAGATGCACAGAGACCCTCCATCAGGAGCCAGCCCCCTACCGCTCTGGACCTCTGTTTCCTCAGCCCAGGAGTGCATAAGAACACCAACCCCAGGACATGTGCAGCTCCCTGTGGTCCCCCTGAGGACGGGTGTCCGCTGGGCTGAGGGAGTTCTCGGTATTCATAGTGCCAAGGCCCCGGTAACTGGAAGGCAGAGGACCCAGATCATTGTAGCCCTGAGGGTAGCTTCACCCAGACCTGCCCCAAAGGTCCAGGGCCTGAGTCCTGTGGTTCTCGGGCCCCACACTTTGGTCTGATCCAAGGCCTTGTGTCCCACAGGCTAGAAGGGCCACTGGAGTCGCTACCAACCCCAAGCAGGACTGCCACTGCCGGCTGTACCTGCAGGCAGCACTGACCAGCCTGGGCCCTGGGGCGGTGGGGGGGGGGGACCTGCTAGTGACACCTGCCGTCTCTTTGCTTTGTCCTGATTGTAGCAAATCCCCTCTCAGTCCAGCAAGACCCAGTCTTCTCCCTTTGGGATTGGAACGAGCCACACCTACCCGGCAGACCCCTCCTCCTACAGTCCTCTGTCCAGCCCGGCTACCTCCTCGCCAAGCGGAAACGCCTACTCCAGTCTTGCCAACAGGACTCCCGGGTTCGGTAGGTGGGGAATGAGGGAAGGAATTCCTGGGAAAGCCAACAAAGATGCTTTCTGAACATTCTGAGTTTGGGGGTCGGAGCCCCGTGCTCCCAGAATCCTAGGACCAGGTCTGGAGGCTTTCAAGCTGCTTCTCTCTGGCTGTAAGGAGGCCAGTGTTGTCCCAAGAGACTGGCTGCTTAGGCCTTGGCTCTGTGGATTGACTTTGTCATTTTCAAGGCCCTGGGACTCTAATTCTGTGTGCTGATGTCACCTGAATGCTGTTTTAACCCTTTATGGCCCTTGGCAAGGACTTTCAGGTCGTCCAAGTAAGAAACCCTGGAGTCTTGTTTCAAAAAACCAGAGACTTGTAGGTTAGAGGGATGACCAATCGTGTAAATAGTAAACATTGTGAAGCTCTCTCTCTTTTTAATATTAAAAGAGGAAACCTATCCCATGTGAGAACATCTGGCCTAGCTTTGCTTACAAAGCCTCAGGCCATAAAGGGTTAAGTAAGAGGTCCTTCCGGTGCACGTCCCAGGAGCCCCCGCCACTGCTCATGCTGCAGGTGTTTAACAAACCCCCCCAGGGAGGGCCCCGTGTCACAGAGGATGGGCTCGGAAGGGACCGCGGAGCTGGTAAGAAGACCGAGCTGGTGCCCCTCTTGCCGCAGTGCTGTCCCCGGGGACACCCAGCAGTGTGGCTCAGGGGGCGTCTCTCTGCAGAGCGGGCCACTCTCAGGCGAGCGTGAAGCTGAGCCCAACATCTGAATTTCCATTTGGCGAGTTACAGGCCTCCGTTTAAACTGTGTTAGCCTTGGGGAAAATGTCCTGCCCTGTCCCTCGCCCCTGCTGTCCCCTGCTGTGGAGCTGTCAGCTGCTGCCACCACCACCCCCCCGCCCCCACGGCTAACAGCGGCACTTCTGGCCCCTTGGTTCTCAGGACACGGCATTTCCTGGCTCCCTGTCTGCCTCTTCTCCTTGGATTCAGCTGCCCTTTGGCGTTAATCCCACGTACTTGTAACTGGGTTCTCCTGTTCAGCCTTTAAATATCCTCGCCAGTTTATTCAGTGATTTTTAGAAGCACAGTGCTGGATTTTAGAAAGGAGACGCCCTGAGGCAGTTGCTTTCAAGTCAACCAGGTGCTCAATTTCAAAACCACTGACTCCCCGGTGGGCTGCACCGCCCTGCAGCCCCTGCATGGGCTCCCTCCACCGGGGGTGGAGAGACCCTGGGCCTGATCCGGAAGGCGGGCCCAGGCACACTCGGCGAGCGGGCCCCTGGTCCTTCCTGGAAGCAAGGGCCCTTCTTACACAGACCTACTCACCAAGCCCTCCTGGGTGCCAGGCCCTGTGCTGATCCTGGGAAACAGAGGGGAGGAGACTCAGTTCTGACCCGGAGAAGATCACAGGGCAGGGACAGGGACACGGGCGGGCCAGTGCTGGAGGTGCAGCAGCCGAGATCTGCGGAAGGCAGGAGGGCCTTGCAGCAGGGTCTGGAGAGTCTCAGAGGGGGCCTGGCACTCACTCTGGGAAGGCCTAGAAGCATCTCAGTGTGGACCTAACAAGAAAGGTGGGCAGGCCACGCCCTGCCGCAGCCATCTGGGGCCTTTGGCTCTGTCCATCTGTCTGGTCTCCACTGAGCAAATGCCGGACCCTGAAGTGCAAATGGAGATAGGACACAGGAAGGACAAAGCCCTGGGCTGAGGCCACCGCACAACTTGATGACCAAGAACAAGGTCACACAAATGGGGCTCCAGGCTTAGCCGTTTTTACAGCCGTCTTCCAGCTCTCTCACACTCAGATGATGATAATTCTGGTAACAGCTAACTCTTACTGGCGCTTGCTATGTGCTCAGCACTTTACACATTCAAATTCATTTAATGCTCACAAGAACCTGAAGCGGGAGAAACCATGATTATTCCCATTTCAGAGATAAGTAAACTAAGGCACAGTGAGGTCAGATAACGTACCCAGGGCCCCCTAGCTGGTCAGCGACAGAGCCGAGCCTGTGGAGCCAGGCAGCGCGGTCTGAGTCTCCGCCCCCGTCACTACTCCCCGTACTTGCCACCATGTTTAATCCATCGTTCAGGGTATCTCAGAATTGAGCAGGAATTGGATGTGCCCTGATTTCCATTAATGAGAAAGGGGCCAGAACCCTTTCCATGAGTGCATGCAAGAGACTATGAAATAGAGAAATTAAGGATTGGGACGGTCCATGGGGCCTTACCATCAATCTGTCATTTGTTAGCCTTGCACAAGCAGTGTGAGTGGATTAGGATGCAGTTGGCGTGTGGTTGGAAGTCCACTTGTGGTGGGGCGGGCAGGTGATGAAGTGGGGACAGGAGGCTGCAGAGGAGAGAGAGGGAGGGGAGGCTCGGGCTGGGGGCGGAGGAAGACCTCGACGGGGGTGGGCGCCAGCGTCGTCTGTGGCGGGGAGGCTCCCAGAAGACAGATACCGGTGCAGGCAGGGGAGGCCCAGGCAGAGGGGTCAGAGTTCACATCAGTGTGAAGGACCGTGGTGTGCAGGGGGCCTGGAGAGTCGGGTGGACCGTGGGATCTGTGGAGTACGGGTGAAGCTCCTCTCCAGAGGGCGTCAGGGGAGTGGAGTCCTGGTGGAGGAGAGGGGCACGCTGCAGTTATGGAGAAAAGGGGGTACGTGATTGGGAGCAGGCCCTGAGGGTAGGGTGACAAGGATGGCTGCTCCAGAGCATGGTGGGAAGGGGTGCAGGGAGGAGAGCAGGTGGGAATGGGTGAGTGGAGAGGGGACAGAGCAGTCTCTGTTAAAGGTCAGTTTCATTAATTTTTAAATAAACACGGAACCATTCAGGCAACTGGCAGTGTTTACATTAGCAGTGGACCCACCCTGGCCCCACGAGGTGCAGATCTGAGTGGCTTCCCAGGGCCTCCCAAGGGGTGTGGGGGAGACAGCTGTGCCTTGAGACCTGTCGGTTGGGCCTGGGGGCTCCAGGCATGACAACGCCCGCAGAACCTGGCTCAGCTGGTTGTCTTGGCCAGAGGCCTGAGCTCAGGGTTGACCTGCCCTCCCTCTTCTCGCTGACTGAAGCAGGCGGGGGCCTGGGTGTGTCTGCTGAGTGGCCTGGCTGAATGTCACCCTGTGATGGCCCAGGTGGCTGAGGTCAAGGGGAAATAGCAGGACATGTCCTTTTTGAACAGGACGTCACCCGCAGCTGGACCCCTCAGGATGGCTCTGTGGACTGAGCTCATCCGTTGAATGAGGAAACAGCCCTGGCTGGGTTCCAGCCCTTTCTGTGAATCACATGCCGGTTTTGCTCCAGGAGCTTTCAGGAGTCAACCCGGAGCATTCCTTCCACTTCAGGTCTGTTGAGTTCCCTGGAGCTATTCCTGCGTTTGCGTTTCCAGCCTTAGTCTCCGCTGCAGTCTGACCTGGTCCAGTGTCTAGTCTCACCTGAACTGCAGCGTCCAGAAGCAGAACTAGGAGGCTGCATGGTCCGTTCATGACACACTGACCACTCCAAGCATTCATTTCCTTAACAAGCCAAGTGGGAAAGGTGCTATGTCCATCGGGGCCCAGGCAGGACACAGAAACCACACCAGTATTTGGAACACCAAGGTTTGTGATAAAGATTTTTAGCTAATAAAAGATGGTAAAGGAGGACCCTGAGGAAGCCAGGGACAGCAGACGTGGGAGCAGCTTCCCCATCAAAGGCCGGGGGAAAGTAGGAGAGAAAGGAACTGAGAACTTGAAGGAGACCCCACTCCACCAAGCCTGACGTTCAGACCTCATTGAAAGTGTGTCCAGCACGGGACCCACAGACCCGCTGGGGGTAAACAGACTTGCCAGAGGCTGTAGGCTGCAGCTGGTCTGCAGGAGCAGCCTGCCAGGTGGCAGAGAAACTCGCTAGAGGGTGCAGGTGGATCCACCCACCAGGTGGCCGAGGTTTCACTGGAAAGTGCCAGCAATCAGGGGCTGGTTTGCCACCCTCTGGGTGATAGAGGCACTTGCTGAAGAGTGAGTGTCACTGAGCCGCCTGCACGCTGCCGGGAGACACACTTGAACCAGAAGAGAAGCTGGTTCCTCGGCTATGCCTGACCTGTCTCTCCAGCACCCTCTATTGACAAAGCCTAACATTGCAGCAGATGGCAAAGGAGAAATGTTTACAGGGTCCAGTTCCTGTATCACAAAGCAGGGTGAAGAAGGGTGGGTTTAGAGGTAGGAGGCATTAAACGGATAACTGGCAGAGATTTATATGATGCAGATCCCTGAATTGGTTACTTCCCTGTTTCAACTACCCCCCAGGCATCTGCTCATTGATGTCTCCTTTTCTTGGAGAAATCCAGGGAGGCAGGCACACAAGTTGCTCAATGAAAGTGGCTCAAAGGTGCTGTGGCCGGCCAGGCTTTCATTCCCCAACTTGCTGTGAGGGTGCGTATGCGCCCTTTCCGTGCTGGGGCTGAATTCTGTTACTGTCTTCCCACCAGGCTGCCAGAGACAATGACTTGGCAAAACAAGCATGTCCGTTGCTGCTTGTTCCCCACATGCTTCTCAGTGTAGGAGGAGGTAGCTAAAGCACCTCATTCCCGCAAGACACACATCACAGCAGGGCAGTACAGATCAATTCAGGTGACAACAGGTGACACCGACAGCTCACGATGAGCATCCAGAAGCTCAAGAAACACACCCGCCATGTAACTGCCCTTCCTTGGACGAGCCGTGTCCGTCCCAGGCGGCCCCAGCTGGCCTAGCAGATTTACCCTGGAGAGGAAGGTTGTCATTCCAGAAATGTCTGAAGTCTGTCGGTGAGAAACAGGACGAATAACTGGAGGTGGGGAGCAGGCTAGCAGAAGCAGCGGGAGAGAGGGGGTTTCAGTGACCTGGAATGTTTCCAGGCACCCTGCCCCTTTCACTCCCCAGCTCCTGCTCCAGATCTCAGTCCTGTGCATTCTTAGTAGTGAATTTTAAGGAATTAAAGACTTTCCCACCCCTACTAGTTAGTGATGAAAATAAATATGAGATCTCAACCAGAAATCATGTCAAGTGTG